CACCTGTAAAATTGGTATTCCAGGAAACTGGAAGGTAGCATATGTTTCTGTCCTCAAACAAAAAAAAAAGGGGGGGGGGAGAGAATCTGGGAAATTACAGATTTGTATGCTTGATGTCTATATTGGGCAAAATTTTGAAGCAGTACTTGGATAGGAATGCAAAAATTAACTCGAGCCAGCTTGGTTTGCCAAACTAATGTTTTCTTCTTTCCTGACGGAGCTATTATGTATTTATTATCCTGCCTTTATTTTTATAAATAACATCATATTTTCATTAATAAAATGGTCAAATATGAGCTAGGTAGATAGATGATAGATAGGTGGCTTCATTGGCTGAATAATTGCATCTGGAGAGTACCTCCACTGGAAAGGGATATCAAGCAGACTGCCAGAGGGCTTTTTATTAATAACTTGGATGAATAGGTTCAGGGGATGAGGATTACAATTGCAGATGACCCAAAGGTTCTTTTTCCAAAAGGCAACTGGACTATCTTGGGTTTTTTTTCTCTTTGAAAACATTGCACTTCTCATCCCAAAAGCTTCTTCAGTTCAATTCTTCAAATCCTTCAGATTCAGAAGCGAAATGTTTTCAAAGGGGGGAGAGAAACATCCTGCCTTTTGGAAAAAGCACTTTTGGCCCAGATGATTGGGAATTTTTATAAAAAAAACAGCAGATGGATGACACAATGGCAAGGAATAATGGCTAACACTCTAAATTAGAAGATAATAAGATGGGGAAAATTTGGCTTGTTTAACGCATATTAAAAAATCTTGGTGTTCTAGAATACATTTAGTAAACTTAAAGCTTATCAAATAAGCTTATCAAAGGTTTAAGCATCTTTAAAAACAAGCAGCCACACAAGAGGGACAAAACAAAGTATCGAAAAATCTGCAGATGACACAAGCAGGGTGAAATTCATCAGGTTCTGATGAACCAGTAGAGGAAATTTTGAGTAGTTTGGAGAACCGGCAAATACCATCTCTGGCTGGTCCCAAAGTGGGGTGGGAATGGAGATTTTGCAGTATCCTTCCCCTGCCGCACTCACCAAGCCACACCCGCAGAACTGATAGTAAAAAAAAAAATTGAATTTCAGCACTGCACACAAGGCAAGGAACAATGGCTAACACTATATTAGAAGATTGGGGAAACTTGGCTTGGTGTTAATGCATGTTAAAAGGATCTTGGTCTAGAATACATTTAATAAATACTAGTTGAATACCCGTGCTCTGCTATGAAACTATGTGATGGAGCTTGATAAATCGACAGTTTGAAAATTAATGAGTAATTATGATCAGCCTCTCCTCTCCCCCCCTCTCTCTCAGGCTGGCCCCACAGAAGCCTCTCGTATCCCCTTCTCTCCAAACGCCCAGCCAGCAGGCCGGAGGAGTGACGCGCTGGCCCCGCCCAAGTGGCAGTTGGGGCAGTTATTTTCAGGTGGAGGCGGGGAGAGTAGAACTCCTTAACCTTAGAGCGCGTTAATCTGTATATATAAATACTGTATCAGAAATACTAATGATCTGATGGTGATTCCAAAAAATTCTTTCTAAGCGAGAACTTAAGAGGCCAAGGGGAACAAACATAGTGTCTAATTTCAAATTTGTAGGCTTTACAGTTCTGGAGGTTTCGTGATGCCGCGTGAGTGGTTTTCGTTTTTATATAGAGAGATATATGCCGCCCAGGGACTCTGGGTAGCCTATCAAAAGGTTTAAGCCCCTTCAAAAACAAGCAACCGCACAAGAGGGACAAAAGAAAAGAACCGAGAAATGCACAAAGCAGCCCTTCTCTCCCCCCCACCCCACCCCCCAAACCAGCAAGCAACTCAAGAGCAGCGAAAGCCAGGGAGCGCGGAGCGATGAAAGTGCTGGATTTGGATCCAGAGAGACCAAGTTCACTTTGTGCAGTGTGACGCCCTCTTTCTTGCCAACCGATCTCCCTCACCGGGCTGTTGTGTGCAAAAGGCGAAAGAGAAGAAGCACCTTGTGCATCGCCTGGAGGAAAGTCCACGTTTAATGCACAACCAATGCACAAAATAAGCAACCGTAGCTTCGACACGCACACACACACAACTTGTCCCCAGCGATCTCCCACTACATTGCACACATATAAACACCCCCCAACCAGCCTGGCTTCTGCGATCACGATCACCCCGCTGGCAACTCTAAGGAGCCTTTTAACCAGCCGGCAAATCTAGTTCCCTTGAGTTTCCCATCCAGTTCCCTGCCTAAACCCGGTACCTTCGCCTCTCCTCCTTTTTCCCAGCAGCTGTGAACGATTCAGACCGGGAAGCCGAAGCGCCTCCGGCCAGGGACAACCAGGCGGCGCTGCGTCTAAAATGGTCAGTAATTGACAGACGGAGCGGTGGGGGCGGACCTCCTTTCGTTAACCACGAGAGCGCTGCGCCCTCTGCTGGCCGGCTGCTTCCCTGCCCCGAACTTGACTCACT